CATCTCCCTTATTTCCTCCTCCCCACCAAGCACGCCTCGCTACCACCGCCTCCACCTTGGGTACATGGTCTAGCGCTGTGGCATTTTCGAAAGCCGGATCAGAAGGGAATTTCTCCATAACAATCTGCTCAGATACTATTCCCTCACAGCAAGGGCAAGAGAAGTTGCGTGCTTATGATAAGCTTCGTGACTACATTTTTGATACTTTTAATTTGTGGCCACCCAACCTCACCAACCCGGACCTTCCTCATTATTCAGGACCCGGCTGGGACAAGGCTGAGAAGGAACGAAAGAAAGAAGAAAGGAACAAGACATTAAGGGAATTGGACCGAGTAAGCCGGCAAGAAGGATCTGGAATTGAGATTCCAGACAGTATTCAGGAGGAGATAAACCAGTCACGCCGGGAAGAAGAGTCAGACCGATCACGCCGGGGAATTTAAAGTAAATGATGGGATGCTGCCTTCATGCCGTTGCTAAACAACATCATCGGGCACTACCTCTTGCTGCAATATGACGTTCAGACCGTAACAATCTGGGTGCAGATCAATCAGTCTAGAAAGATGGCTCTAATAGTAAGGGGTTTTCCGCTACGAACCGTGAAAGCCCAATTTTGACGACAAGCAGAGACGATGGCGGTGGATTTCATGACGTTCCCACGAGAAATTCGGGACATGATATACGGGTTCATCATACCGCCAATGGCAGCCACCATTGTGACGGTCTGGCGCGGCACACGAGTAGAAGGCGAGCCTGCTGAGTTGAATATCGCTAGCTAAGTCGTCGTTATGCCAACGAGCTCCGTGGTGAGTGACACATTTGCGAGGACATGTTTTTCGTTGCTCGCGTCAATCGATACTACTACGACATTCGTCGCGATCATATTCTTCAAAAGGGACTTTAAGACATACGAGGACTCCCTCAAAGGCAAAAACACACGTTACGCTCGACCGAAGCGTCCGGTACTCTCCCTTCGCTCAGGAATGTACCCACCAATGAAGCATCCATCGAAGCATGTGGTTCTTGATGAACCCGTAGAGCGGTATGGGGAGGATAAATTCATGTCCGTGGAGCTGACAACTCAACCTATTCTCTTCTTATAAGTCAAGAACCCGTACCAAAGACGTTACAGAACAAGTGAAACAGGAAATCAAGTCGAAGTCGTTCTCTCCCATCTCCTTTCTGATTCAAGATCTGATGAGTACTGCGGACGAGAGGGTATACACACTTCTAGTGAAAGAAAGAAGCCAGTCGGCAATAATGGGAAGAAAACAAAGAGGGTGGTGACTCGGATGATTTTGAGTCAAAAATTAGCGGCGTTCGAGAATGTTCTTATGCTCACGAGCGCTCAAGTGGACATATCCTGGGGTTTATATGGAGTGGGTGATAGATGATCGTCCTGATGTCGGGACTTGGTTACTGACTGCTCCATACTTGCGTACGCAGCGAATTGAATCTCAAGCAACGATGCCAATGAGCCGGACATCCTTGAAGCTAGCGAGCTATTCATTAAAGTTTCGTTTGTCAAGTGGCAATATATTCCTCATCATCTTGAAGCGAGCCATCAGCACAAGATTAGGAACGGGACATGCAATATTGCGTCAAGGAAGAGAGACTCGACCTCCTGGATTCAGCGGTAGGCCACGCTGAATCGCACGTGTCACCCGCTATTCAAGTATCAGAATTCATCAATTCAGACAAACCCGGGTTTTGGTTCCAGAGGCGATGATATGCTGGGCAGTTGAAGCGATATATTCTTTCTTGTTTATTATGCCGTGCCTACGACGTCGCCTTAGTAAATATCTCTGTCTCATATTCTCGTATCATCACTCCTTTGAGTAACAAAGTCTATATTACTTTCGTATTTGAAACAGCATCGAAGCCAATTTAACGCGGCTTTGTACCCATTGACTTTACTAGGAGGTAGCTCACCGGACCAGCTGACAGTTCTTGATTTTCTCAGATGAACAAATCGGTGGCTTTGGAACCGTGCTCCAGGATGTCATTAAGACTACTCTGGCATTCCTCGTCCTTGACTTCATGGATCTCACCGGATATAGCAGACACATTGCTCTAACGTCGATGGCATCGAGAAAGTGATCAAAAGTTCCACAACAAGTTTGATGAGCGTAACGAGATCGTAGCCGGCCTCTGAAGTCAAGCCGACTGTCCTAGAACCAGATCAATGTTGCTGGATCCAAATTACAGTCACGAACGGCGTCTTGGTGGTAACCTGATATCTGTACTTCCATCACCTGTTCTGTTGCCAACGCGCAGCTTAGGAAAGTAGTAAGGAAGACTGAGAGGTTCATGGTGACTGTGATGTTGATGGAGGTGAAGTACACAACCACACATCGTGATGATATCATTATGATGGAGCTCCAATGGTGTAATTTCAATAGAATGACAGTATCATCGATGTCAATGACGGAACAGAGGACCAAGAGTGGTAGCGACCTGCCGGCGACCATTGGGGCCCTTTGTCAAGAAGATTCAATTTGGTCGCTGGAAGCTGATCAAGGAAGACCAGAAGCTTGTAATGGAGCCGTGGGTAACAGCATCTCAACTTTTCAGTAGCGAACGCACGATGTCCCTGCAGCCAATCGCCAGAAACCATCTGTCAACAAAGAAGAAACGAGCACCTGATACATAACGAACAAAGCCACAGCTGGCTACCGCTCCCCGTATCTCACCCCTTGTCCCCCAGTATGATGTCACATCGACTTCGATCAAAGAAATCGACCTACTCACTTCCCACCACCAGAGATCATTCCCCTCTGACAGAACCATGCATCCAATCAACTCAAAATTATCTCGCAAATAGCTATTCAGCAATTCTCCATCTTGGACATGCTTTAAAAACACAAACTATGTAGCTCACACTCATCCCAGCCGCGATGGCCGCGGTGATCACGATAACCGCAGAAGAGGTGGTAGAGGAGGAGACGGTCTAGAGTTTCGAGGCGGACGATGTGGAGGTATTCTGGCTTCCCTTATCACTCTCTCCTTTCCAATGTATCAATACAAGATTTCTGACTGAGTCGACAGGGGGGATGGAAAGGGGCTTTTCCATGATGCTGTATGGATATCAAGTGTGTGTTGACCTACTGATGTGGGGGTGGCCTCTAGTGCCTCCCTCTTTCTAAAATATGATTTCCTACCTTACAAAATACGCTGTATCTCCTGAAGGGGTCGGCTGGCTCTGCATTTACTGTTATATTTCATTGAGGATCGTCAAAACCTGCCAACAGCAGTGGTTTACCTTATATTACAATACTTGAGTCTTACACACTTGTATTCAGATTTTTCCTCCTAAATTTGCTATGTCTTACTTCGGCATCATCATTTTCAGTAGACAATCGTCCTTCCCATCTACATATTCTCTACACTGGCTTAGATATGCAGTGGTTTCAATGCCTATGTTTATGAAAAATCAGCAAGACAAGAACCATTTACGCGACCAGATTCTTGAGACTGCATCTCTCCAGCAACGTGATCCTTATATGTACGACTTCAACCCAGGCTCTCAGGTTGAAATTGGAAGAAAAGGAGACAAGTCTGAAGTAGTGAACTTTAGCAATTGATTCTAAGCCCTCTGTCCGAGTCAAATTTGGAACACTTACTGTGTTCTTGAATGGTCTTCGAAACCCCTTTTTGTATCTACACGACGCTTTCAATTATTCCCCACAAACGTGATAATTGATTTCCCTACATACCCTCTTCAGTGTACCATCCCATCACTCTCGCCAAGACGACGTACATGATCTCACAACAGATAACGCACAAACAAGCTGACTATATTCCCTCGGATCGCTAAAGAAGGGCAATGCGCCATCTCGATCACTACCTCATCTCGACCAGACATCTAGGTTTATCCATCTATACCCTTCAAAGCCGTTATCCCCGGACTTCCACCGGCATAGCTTGTGGCAATTGGAGTTAGCCGAAGCCAAATAATTCCCGTGAGAGAACGGTGGATACCCGGCACACGTAGATAAACGCCTCAGCGGCGGACAATCACAGATTAAATACCAAGGTCACAGACCTTGAAGGACGAAAGAATACGCTGAATTCAGAACGCAAGGTCTTATTAAAATCCCAACATTAGCTCTAAGAGGAAATTTACTATTACCTGTCCGAATCCCAAGAGGCAAATCTCAAATCATCAAAAGCAGAGGCGAAGGTTCAAGGAATAAAAGATAAAAGAAATGAAGTTAATAATTGTAGAGGATGACTTGGTCAAATGCCGTGCCCCTGTACGACTAGAACCCCAAAGTCCCCAAATTACTTCATACCAAATTAATGCAATGAAGCCTTCCCTTCCTCCTATGCTATGAAAGAAACAGCTCCAATCATAATCCTTGCCCCACTCCTCCGCCCCCCACAATCATCACAACTCTCAAACAAAACAACCGCAAAAACCCACAACGACAGGCATCCCTAGATAGCTTCTCACAGGCTGACAAATCGATACTGGCCAATCTATAGACTTTGAAGTAGCTGAATATAGAGCGGGAAGAGTCATAAATTCCGTGTTTCTACTACTCCGCTCTGGCTGGGGGGGCTGTTATCATACCTCATCCCAGTCTCAACATATTTGACTGGCTTAAAAGCACCATTCCATCCCCCCTCCTCCACCCCCCGTCTGCCCCACTCCCGTGTCTAGTACGCAAGCAAGCGAGAAATGGCAACATAGCCCAGAGAAGAATTTAGGTAGAGGGAAGAACTTAGCTAGCTCACTAGTTCTGTTTTTGTATAAAAACGGACAAGTACTGAGATTTTCTCATTTTGGCGCTCAAGATCGCCAGGTAACCACCTCTTCCGACCCTCAGACTATATCTTCGTGGGCCAGAAGATCTGATTATACAAACGCCGAAAATGATGCAACGCCTCGCTCATACCTGCGCACACCCCCGCCCCCACACATCCACGATATCGAAAAAAACCACAAAGTGTATGCAAATCTCAAGACTTAGAACCCCAACCTGCACAGTACAGTGACATCACACCCTCATCCTCTGCACGAAACTCCCCAGATCAAACTCCGTCTCATACTCCCTACTATCATGCAATTCCTCCAAATTGTCCAAGACCCCCTTGCCTTGCCCGACCTTCTTGACCTCACCTGTCGTCGCGTCCAGCATATCGACCTCTTTCCCGCCCGCGTTGACGTCCACGTCTGTGGCATTACTTGGGGGAGGGGGAGACCGGCGGTGGTAGATGAGTCGGTGGAGGAGATGTTGAAGAGGTCGAGGATTTGGTCCGTTTCCATTGTTGCGAGACCGGCGTTTTGTTGGTTTACTACTGTGCTGGCGACGTCGATTTTGAAGCGTTGGAGGCTGTGTTTTGTGAGTGGGTGGGGGGAAAAAGGAGATCTAAGGGGGAAGGGGGAAGGGGGAAGGGGGGTATGGCTTACTTCAAAATCTTCTCCTCTAGCGTCCCCCTCGTGACCAAGCGGTACACATTGACGACTTTCTTCTGCCCTATACGATGCGCGCGGTCCATCGCCTGCATATCTTTCTGAGGATTCCAATCATGTTCCACGAAGATGACAGTGTCCGCGCCTGTGAGATTGAGTCCAAGACCACCAACGCTGGTGGTGAGGAGGAGGCAGTCGTAGCTAGGATCTGTGTTGAATTGATTGACGATGCTTTGGCGCTTGCCAGCTTCTACGCTACCGTCGAGTCGTAAATATTGGACGCTGGGTAATAGATCGCGGAAGACGGTGGTGGCAACCATGTCGAGCATCTCTTTCATTTGGCAGAAGATTAGGGCGCGATGGGGTGACACAAAAGTGTTGGTTGAGGGGTCGGTGCCGATACCACAATCAAGGAGGAGGTCACGGAGAGCGGAGAGTTTGGGGGCATGTGCGACGTCGGCGAGAGAAGACTTCTGGCGAGCTAAAGTTTTCTGAATAGCTGGGTATTGTTTGTGATCGGGTTTGATGACGAGGGCTGGAGAGTTACATAGTTTTCGCATGTACTGTAGAGCCTGAAAGATATGTTGCTTCGCCTCTTTAGAGTCACTGCCGGCTTCGTTGGCAATGGTTTTGCGCTCTTTCTTTGCGAAATCATCGAACAGGCTTTTCTGTAGGTCTGACAGGTCACAGTAGTAATTTTGGAGGATCTTTGGAGGCAAATCGTGTAGTACCTCCTCTTTGAGTCGACGGAGCAGGAAGGGGAGGACTTGCTTGTGAAGGCCTTCAATGGCTAGCGCTCCAGCTTCTTGCTCTTTCGAAGACGACTTTGCGTAGCGGCTTGCTGCGATTGGTTTGGCGAAACGGTCGAGGAACACTTTCTCTGTTCCTAGAAAGCCAGGCATCAAGAAATCAAAAAGTGACCACAGCTCGAGAACGTTGTTTTGAATTGGTGTACCAGAGAGAATGAGTCGGTGATTGCTTTTGATTCTCTTGACGGCCATTGAGGTCTTCGCTTTTGGATTCTTAATCAGATGTCCCTCATCCAGAATACAATAGTTCCAGTCTTGAGGAGCAAAGAGATCTATGTCGTTTCTGCAAACATCATAGGATGTGACAACGATATCGGTTGTTCCAACGAGATCCCTGAGACGAGCCCTTTCCTGAGATGGTCCAACGTAAGCTAGGCAAGATAGGAATGGTGCAAACTGAGCAATCTCTTGCTGCCAATGACCGGAAAGTGTAGGTGGACACACAATCAGCGAGGGTAGCTTGCGAGCATCTGGGGCTTGTGTCTGTGCATACTCTTCTGCGCGGATGTGATGGTCACTTGCGACAATACAAAGCGTTTGAAGGGTCTTCCCAAGCCCCATATCGTCGCAGAGAATGCCATGCAGATGGTAACGATTGAGGAACCAAAGCCAGTTGACACCTTCTTGCTGGTATGGTCTCAAGTCGGCCTTAATCGCGACAGGTAGCTCAAATGGCTCTACTTTCTTGAAGTCGAGCATTTGAGAAATAAATTTACGCTCTCTGTCTCTACCTTTGAGTAAGTCTTCAGAAAACCCCGGTGGATCTGGTATGCCGGCTTCAAGCGGCACGAGCTTCACCAATGTCGCAAATGTAGTCGTAGCGATAAGCCGTATATCGTTGTCAGAGTCGCTCATCCTTCCAAGGACTGGCACTATCAAGAAAATCACGTAAGGTAAAATGCCGTCTTCCATGACGTGTATCAGATGGTATATTAATTCAGTTGTTCCCTGGCGATAATAGAGGTTGTCTGAGCTTGCGTGTGGGATTATCTGTTCGACAAGCATCGTCATAGCTTCAATCTTCAAGACGCTGCAAACGGTTGCAAAACATTTGGCGGCTGCATATCGGAAAACAGAAAGCTCATGTCGCAAAGCTTTGGCAACCAAGGGCATCAAATCCACGATGAAGGGTCTGAGGTTTACATGCATTTTTGGGACAAGGGCACGAAGTACTGATAGTGCGTCAACGACTTCTTGGCCAATTTCTTTGGTATGATCGATTGCCATCGAGTCGTCGTCCCCTAGGACCTGGTGTAGTGGACCCTCGATTTTGGATTTGAGTACTGGTGCCTTGACAAAGAGATCGATGCCAAACCCGTCGCAAAGCTCGTCGAGTGCTGCTTTGGTGCCTCTTCGAGCAATGCGAGCAGCTCTGGCTTCTTTTTCGTAATCGGTGGTGCTTGCATAGTCTTTGCGATCTTCCTCCTTGTGCAGGGAGAGGATGACATCCACTTTTGAAGCATTCACCCCGAACTCTGGAGTTTCAGCTGTGTCCATGCAATAGAAACTCGCAAGATTGCCGGTGATTTTATCTGCTGGGCCGCGCTTCTGTGACTTGGCATAGTAATTTAGCAGTGACGCAATTGCGAACCCAGATCGCTTCTGAAGATCGAAAGTCTCCTCCATCTTGATACTGTCCATTAGACTTTTGATCAGTGAAGACGGTTTTCTAGGGACTTCACCCAAGGCAACAAGAGCAGCCGCCGCTACAGCCTTGATCCGAACATCGCGCTCTTGCTTTATATTGTTGAAATCTGCAATCGCTTCTTTGAGGGCAGCCTGGGAGTCGGCGAGAATTTTGCCAGATGTGATACGATTGGCAGGCGAGAGGCTCTTCTTCAGCCGATCAAAGTCTGAAGTGGCTAAAGACTCTGCGTTCGAAACTGAAAAAGCCGAAGGACCAGCATCCTCTTCACCCTGGACAATGACAGCGACTGACGGAAGTCTTGCTGGTAGCACGTGACCATGCTCTCGAAAGGCGTTCAGTAGGTTTTGACTTTGGCTGCGTGCAATCTTCAGGTATGGCAAGATGTCAGTATAGTTTTCGGGTCTATCAACATCGAGGACTTCAAGTAAATCTCCCGTGACTTGTCTGAGCGAATCAAAATCTCCAGTGCACGCTTGAGCGCTTTCGTCAATTATCAAGCTTGCTGCAATTTGGGTGGTGGAATGGGAAGATTTGAGACCTGATAACAGCAGATTTTGAAGAGTTCCACAGGTGTCTCCTTGGGAGAGCCGGGCGATGACAGCTCCCAAGGCTTTGGCCGCGAATATTCTCGATCTCACAAGCGTCTCCATCCCTACGAGATCAACTTCGCCAGAAATCATATGACCGTCAACATTGTGAGACTGGGTGACTTGTTCGTCCTCCTTCTTGTCGGACCGTCTTCTACGTTTTGCTGGCGGTTCGCTAGCTGCCCTTTGAGGCTCAACTGGTGGGGGGCCGTAGAGTTGACCTGATGGTTTCATCAAACGGAAAAGCTCCATTGGCAACGCGTTCCGCGAAGTTCCAATGGGATGCAATGCCAAGGCCATTAAATCTTCCACATGCGGTGCAACTTCTTCTTCCAAATTTCCCGTTGATGTTACAGCCGTGAGCAGAGATTTGAATACATCCAAGGAAAGCTTGAGATTTGCTTCGTTGCGCTCAACCAAAAGATTCTGGAATACCAGCCTTAGAATGTGACCATTGACCCAGCCTCTTGTTTCGCCGTTTCCAATTTGCAAGAATGTTTGGAGCGCTCGCAGAACCGCCAACCGGACGCTTGTAATGGTATGCCGTAAGAAAGGATAAAGTCGTGGTACCAAATTTGAGAAAGACAGCTCTACATCTTTGGTGGCATTGCGTCGCATTGCCTCGAGTACTTCTGGAAAGCTGCAAAGCTTTGCTAGTAGATCCATGACAAAGCCTGTACTGGCGCTCAAGTCGTCTCGTAGATCAGAAAGACATGCCCAGACAATATCCATGAGATGTTCAAGTGCGCTTGGTCGAAGGCTCACGAACTGCTTGGCAATGGGGATGAGCGTAGCTGCGCTGACGGCCCGTACATCGTCGTCGATATCTGCAAGACCTCTCAACACAGCTTCAACAATGCCGTCCATAAGCTTCTCATCATCCACTAATAAGTCTGTACGAACGGCGACCAAGTATCGCAGGCCAGTCATACCACCATGGCACACCTCCCAGATCCGGTTTGAGATCTTCAAGTCACTCTGCATGACCATTTGGTGCAGTACTCTGTAGATTGATCTTACTTTAGGCGCCGGAAGATGAACCAGAAGGGCTGCCAAAGTTTGTCCAATTGTCTCACGTATGGGTGCAACTACATTGTCCGAAATATAATCCCCAAATCGATCGAGCATCAGAACGCAGCATAAACGACAAGCAAGGTCGTCTGCCCACACAGCGTTGAGCGCGTCATTTTCGGACTTTGATTTACCACTCTCTCGACCAGCCCCGGCACCGTGAATTCGGACGACCTCACGCAACCCCAGAGCAGCTCCGTGCCGAATCTCCCAGGAAGCATCGAGAAGATCTGCGGCCAAGACCTCACAGAGCCGCTCGAAGGGCCACTCTAAACCGCTTTCTTCGGCGTCGGTCTGAAGCATCGATTTCTCAGGAGCAATGTCTTTGATACCTTTGAAGTCCGAGACAATCTTGGCGGACTCATCGACATTGCTGTGCTTGAGGGAGAAGATGTCATCTTTGTCCTCGTCATCCGCTTCTGACTTGATGCTTGGTTTGACGGCAAAGGGCGCTATCCCTGAGGGAGTGGAGGGCGTGTTAGTACTTAGTCGTCTCGCCGATAGGTCTACTACGCGGACCTTGCTTGCCTGAGAACGAGCATCGAGTTTTTGCTTGCGCTTCAGTTGGTTGAGTTGCCGCTTGCTGAGGCCCCCAGGCTCTGTGGGAGTTTCCGCTGACATGGGTAGAGCGGATCTGGCGGAGAAGGTAGTTGGCGTTTGCATTTCATCATCTTCGAGAATCATATTATCAGAAGTGTCGATCTTAGGCACCGATGGGGGGCCAACTTCGCTGCCAGCACGCTTGGGCTTGATGTCCATCTCCCGAATAATTTGCTGAATCCGCTCGGAGACGTTGCTGCCACGCAGGCCGAGTTTACAGATGGCAGCGCGCCTCTTGAAATCCAACTGCGTGACAGCATCTTGGCTCGCAATGAGGTCATCAACTTCATGGGTGCCACTTGCAAGAAGTTTTGTGCCGTTGGTAATGACAGCTGATATGTCCAGATCATCAAGTCGTAAAGTGTCCAGCGAGTCGTTGGCTGCAGAATGCAAAGCTCCGGCGGTGTCTTCAGATTTGATTCCATCCGCTTTGTTATCGTCGTCGTCTGCGTTTGGCTCGAACAGGCTTGTGTTCTCGACGATGTAGCCTAGGGCCTTTGCAGCAGAGGTGCGGACATCCCATGATTTGTGTCTTAGATATGGGACGACGCGAGCGAGCAAGTTGAACAGTTCGTCCGAGTGCTGCTTTTGTACATCACCGAGCTGCTGCGCTGCAGTGTTTCGTATAAGCTGGGTGCTACCAGTCTCCAGCAACCTGCATAATAGTAAGTCACGACCAAGTAGGGTTAGCGCAGGGCTTGCTTACTTAACCAGGCGGTCTAACCTATTGAAAGTCAGCAGACAGGACCCCTTGTCTTCGTTTTCCCAGACGCATGATTAGCTCCACTCACCTCGAAGCCATCGACTAAGTTTTAGGTTATGACAGTTCTTCCCCCAAGTCGCTGCACACGCGGCAAGTCCTCGCGCCTGGCCTCTCTAGCAGTGGAGGAAAGGTGAGGTAGAAAGGTGGAAAGATGGGTGATTGCCATTATTCGGTGGCTGATTAAACATTATTTAGGCCTCATATTTGCTTCACAATACTTCACAAACTGTCGCAGTACCTTAGGGTCGAGGTGACTGTCCAGACCGTTGGAGTATTACCGTATGAGTGAATGGAGGCGTACTCGTAGGGCTGAATGCACGAGGGGGGTCGCCAGCAAAAAGTCGCGAATCCGATGGAATTCTGAGACTGGAGCGGGCTAGCAGCGCCTTTAAATGCCAACTGCCATTTTTTGCACCTTTGGCCTCCGGCCCATCCCTGCCGCGCTAAGGCCCCTAGCGCAAGCACGTCTTGAACGGATCCAAGAAAGGAGATTAGAACGACTCTCACCAACCACCATCACCACCACCACCAACCTCCTGATCATCCACCCTCCTACGCATTGGTCTTCATGTAGGGAAATATCACACCTCGCCTTCCTCACCGAGACCAGCGCACATTGTCTCTGGCTGTGGACCAGTTCGGACAATCGTGAGAAGAGCACGTCTCTGCCGGATAAGGGGCAGTGTGGTGGGTAAGGCGCCCTCAGTACAATCAAATGGCATGTCGAATTCAATACTAGACCATGAATGATGTGGCTTCTCAGGCTTCGAGAATCGTTCTTGAAACAAACGCCATGAATCATAGCTGATAGGTCAGAAATCACGCGTGTTGCTGCCTAGAGTGACGCTGGCTCCCAAACATTGGTAGCCAATATAAAATCAGCAGCGGAGGATTGCTGGTTACCTAAATCAGTACCTAGCCTTTTGTGGTGGATAGAGGCTAGCAACTCGGGTAACCTAGAATTAGATCAAAAGAACCCAATGCTCAGACATTTTGAACTGTTGATGTCTTTTATTACATGTAGTCCACTATTGTAGCGGAGCCGTAGCTTGAGAAGTAACGTTGCGTATTTCACAAGCTCCAATTGCTGTAGGATGTCGACGCACAGCCTCAACCGTTTTGGACGGGAGCTCCACCTGACCGCATTGGTGGTATGCCCACTCCCCTGCAAAAGAGGCTAGCGTGGAAACTTTTGCGCCTCTTCGATACATACAGCCTGCGTAGCAACGGTCTAAGTGCTGAGAGCCTCAGCTTTGCGCAATCTGGCTTCTGCTGACCTCAAGTCTATGATGTGCGCGAGTACGAATACTGAGGCCTCCAGCCACATGCTGCCATGAAAACCACCCGAGACACGCTTGATTGCCTGCCCGCTTTGGAGCCTCCAACATGTCCGCCATTTACCAAACCCCCTCCTTTCCCTCCTCACTGAGCGCACCTGGACCAGTCGCGCCTGCATCCGCTGTTCCGAGCGGTACTTTTCTGCCAGGCACGAAAGTGCAGGTGGGGCAGCACAGGGTTGTCATAGAAAAATATCTCTCAGAAGGAGGCTTCGCCCACGTCTACGTCGTTCGTCCCCCGAAGCCTATCGATGGCAGAGAGACAGCCGTTCTTAAGAGGGTGGCGGTCCCCGATAAAGAGACCCTGGCGACCATGCGGACAGAGGTGGAGACCATGAAGAAGCTGAAAGGGCGCCGACATATCGTGACCTACGTTGACTCGCACGCTTCTCAGCTGAAAGGAGGAGGCTATGAAGTATTCCTGCTGATGGAGTATTGTAACGGAGGCGGACTGATAGATTTCATGAATACGCGACTACAGAACAGGTTGAAAGAGCCAGAGATTCTCAAGATCTTCTCGGACGTTGCCCAAGGTGTCGCATGCATGCACTACCTCAAGCCACCGCTCATGCACCGAGATTTGAAAGTGGAAAACGTTCTGATCACAAAAGATGGCTCTTCAACCCTCTACAAGCTATGTGACTTTGGATCCACCGCCCCTCCCCGCCCGGCAGCAACCAGCGCCGCCGAAGGAAGGCTGATCGAGGAGGATGTACAAAAGCACACGACACTGCAATACAGGAGTCCAGAGATGATCGACGTCTATCGAAAGCAGCCGATAGATGAAAAGAGTGATATTTGGGCGCTTGGGGTGTTACTGTACAAGCTCTGCTATTACAAGACACCCTTTGAAGAGCAAGGGCAAATGGCAATCCTGAATGCCAGCTTCAAATATCCTGGCTACCCATCTTTCTCTGACAGATTGAAAAAGCTCATTGGTGAGGCTGTCCTCTTTTTCTAGGGGTAAAGTCTGACTGTAGCAGCATTGATGTTGCGAGAAAACCCTCAGCACCGACCCAACATATATCAGGTACTACGTGAGATAGCTGCGCTCCGTGGCACTGATACACCTATCAAAGACGTGAGTACTCCATGCACCTAGCTGCATAAAGCTAAACTAATTAGATCTACTCTGGACGTACCCAATCAGAGGACCGACGTAATCAGCAATTGCCTTCGAAAGAGTCACAAGGAACATCGTTGCCCGTGATTGGTGCTGTGCAAGCGGCACCTCAACAGGAGAAGACAGTCATACCAGAGATCACGCCAATGCGGAGAGGCAGGCCCACCAAAGCTGGAGACAGCATCAAAGTCGCAAAGCCGAGCCCTTCTCCCTTGAGACATGACACCAACGATCCTTTCACTGCGCTGGACTCCAAAACGGTGGCTTCGTCTGATAGTAACTTGGACGATGTTTCGACACGCTTCCCTGCCCTCGATGACTTCTCTCTTCTCCACGAAAAGGGCAACAGATTCTCATTCGACCAGGAGGCAGGAGCCACGGCTGACCCTAAGAAGGATATCAAACAACGGGTCACTGAGGCGCTTGCAGACGACGCTTTTGCAAACGCAAAAGCACCTAATGCCCCACCTCCAAGTCAAGGTGCTTCAAGTCTCCATCTACCCACCTCAAGGCCGTTATCGATTCCTACATCAAATAGTCGAGCTCAAAGCAAGCCGACGTCACGTTCAACGTCAGGTGATCGCCAGGAAGCTCAAAAGTCCCCCATGGTGTCTACTGGTACTATGACATCCCCGCCTCCATCACCCCCGTCGCAGCCCCAGTCCGTATCTAACCGTACAATCTATCGCTTCCCACCATCAAATCCTGCATCAAGATCCTCGAGTCAGCCAAGAAATTCGAACCTAGATGAGGGCCACTCATCTGCAGTTCACCCGGACGCTAATCTTGGGCGAGGGCTGAGTGATCATCGACCCAAGTCGCAAATTTTGCTTAATGACAAAAGGACATCATTTGAGGTCAATAAAAGGCCGTCAAATATTTCTAGTCCAGACGATGGAGTCCATCGTTCCAAATCAGCAAGCTCAAAAACAAGACCATCAAGCATGCAGTCATCCAAGCCAAGTCTACTTCGTAGGATGTCTCGAGACCGTCCCCAACATGTCGCAGACGCCGAAGAAAACGTTCGATTGGTGTCGGGCGTGACGGATGAAGCCAAGGACGACAAGATCAACTCTAACGTTGAGTATCTGAAAGCTGTCGAAGTCGAAGATGCTTCAAAGAAGAAGGAAAAGCGCTTAAGTAGCGGCTCAAAACACATCAAGAGAGCAAACCTACCTTCAGTCTCACTGTCAGGCACGAAAAACCTGCTTGCTGGTCGGTTTGGCGAGGCATTTCGAAAGTTTGAGACTAATAACGGGCCTCAAGACGTCCCACTACTTGACTCACCAACAAGACCAAATGAACTCACTCCTATTGCCGGGTCTGAAGCCACCGACGGTCGAAGCGACGACGGGAGAGTGGAGGAGGAGACCGAAGAAGTTTCGCCCGAAGTTCGGCGTGAGCTCGAACGGAGGCGCCTTTCTGAAGAAGAGCGCCGAGTCACAGACGGCGCCGCTGCTTACAAGTTGAGAGTAGCAGGTGGTGGCGAGATCAGACCAAGCGGCAAAGCGGCTTCGATCCAGAGCAAAGTCAAGACACTTCTAGACGAAAGCGGGCGAGCCTCGCCTTCGCCAACAAAAGCACCGCCTGGCTTCGGTAGACACGCTCCGTCACTCGATACTCGACCGCAAACATCTGGGGACCTCCCCCCCAGGTCCAGTTCCATCCAACCCTCATCCCTCACCGCCCTCCCAGGCTCAAATCTCTCAACCTCGAGGACCGATCCCAGAGTAGACCCTCGACCGCAGAAACCACCAAATTTCAACCCACCCCGCCTGTCCACCGCAGCAACAGCTCCACCCTCAACCAACATTCCCGCTTCCGCTCCCCAATCTCAAGTCGGTGGCCCCTCCCTAACCTCCCGACCGTCCGGGCCCCCAAAACCAAAACCCCAACCGAAGCCTCAAGCTCTCCGCACAGGCGACCGTCCGCCCCAATCACCCGCCAAGCCCAAGCCATCATCCCTCGCGTCTCGCAAGCCCTTAGCCACTTCTTCAGCCCAACCACCCCCTCCATCCACACAGTCTCAGCCTTCCACAACGGCGTACGATGGTGCACCCGACGACGACTGGGAGACCAATTTCAGTAAACGGTACCCCGATCTCTCCGGGTTAGAGATGGTGGAGACGGAGATTGATCAGGGGGGCGTAGCCAGTGGGGGCGGTGGTACCCCCAATACTCTAGGGAGGGAGATGAGAGTGCGGGAGGTGTAAGTCGACATTATATAAGGGTATATCAAAGCCAATGAATCCTGTCACGCCGTCTTCCTGGAAAAACACACTAGCATCTCCCAGTCCATCAGCCCTGCTTCCTTGATTTCTTCTTCGTACCACTCCCCACCTGCGCCTACTCTGTGGTTCAGCAAAGTTGCCGCGGCAGGTCTCACGATGCCGTCGTAATCAGCCTTCGGCACAACGAAGATGATCTTCCCCACCCCCCACCCCACCCTCCTTGCCCGCTACATCCCCCTCCCCCTTCGCAGCCGCAAGTGTAGACACATATCTCACAACCAAGTCGCGAGACCGGGGATACACGAACATCCACGCGTCGACCTCGTTGTTGGCGATTGTACACACCTCCCCCGAGTGCATGACGGTGAGGACGTGGGAGGAGGGGAGGTAGATGTTCGTTGCCTTTGCTGCCGTTTCACCCTCATCGTCTGGGGTGGTGGAAGAGGAGGAGGAGAAGGGGGAGGAGGGAGAGGAGGGCGAGGAGGATTGCAGCACTTCCACGCCGTAGATGTCTAGATCGTGGTAGTTGGGGCGGTGGTGGTGGTGGTGCATGAGTAGCGCTTCTAACAACCCCGTGCCCGAACCAATCGACAGCGCTTTTACCCTTCCCCTCCCAAACCCTGGCCCCGCTTCGGCAGTGGAGGGGGAGCGAAAAGTAGACTTGGGTGGTGAGGACGTGGGGTTGGGCGATAGAGGTGGAGAAGATGGAGGAGATATGGATTGTGCTCGGGGTGGGGGTGGGGGTTGGGAATGGGGGCGAAGTAAACGAGACAGTGTAGACAATAGGGTTAGGGATAGGGAAGCCGAACAATGATGATGCAGCTGTGGGTCGGTTGTAAGTTCTGGTAAAGCGGGTGGCATCCGTGAGGGTGAGAATGGGGACATTTTTCATATTCTGTTGAGTAAGATAGTGGGATGGATTGAGATTTGGTGTAGTTTGGTGTGGGTGTGGGGTGGTTGATTTAGAGCAGTAAGGTGGGGAGTTGGAGAGAGGTGAAGAGGGGGGACAATTGCGGACTTCGGTAGCTAGACTTAAGGATTGGGGAACCGAGAGATGGGGCTACGATGAGCAAGGGAAGAATAGAGAGAGGGGAAAGGGTGAGTGCAAGGAAGAAATAGAAGATAGGAGGTATAAATGAAGAGCTCGTAGGACGGCAGGGATATGAAAGGAAAGGATCCAGGAATGGAAGAGGGGAGAAAGGGGAGCAAAGACCTAACATTGTCAGTAAGATGAATTAATTCATGAGGAACGCTGGCATATACGAACTCGGATGTTAGTGCACACATTAAAGCATCATCTCAACAACGACTACAGTCCTGAAATGAATATCTAGCAATACCAAGCAAGAGAATCAACATCACCAGGACTTAACGTAAACATTGCTGTCGAATTCCCATCTGCTAGAATATCAAGCACGCCACTAACTATGCAATGATTATTGTATCAAAGCCGAGATACTGAGGTAGCAAACTACACAATGCCATTTGAAAGCCACATCCGGTGCTGCTAATAATTTCCCCACCTCCATTCCATTGCAATTTTCAGTACACCTATGCCCAGTCCAGTGGTGATGCAAATATTCTAACTCTCCGTCTTTGAAGCTCATGCTTATTCTATGAGTGAGGAGGGTAAGTTCTGATGCATAAGTCGTCTTACATGCGTAATCGTCGTGAGATTTTCCATAATCGATGTTGAGCCGTCAGATAGTGAGACTTGGGTAAGATTGTTGGAGTTGGCGGTACTGCTCAGGGAAACGGCCCTTTCGCCGCTTGAGCGTATTCAGGATTTACAGACCGATGGACATTCAGCCTTCCCCAGAGCCACCATACTGACTCCCTTCAGCAGCTTCCACTTCATCCATATCTTCATCGTCATCGTTGATACCCGTGGCATGCATTAGTCCTGCTACCTGCCCTGCCTCGGCATCCATATCTGCGTCAGGATCGCGGTCGTCGTACATAGTACCCTCAGTGTCATAGAGAGCTGCGGAAGATTCGTTCAAGTGATTGCGTAAGCGGTTCACGCCATCACCAGAGAAGACGCAGAAAACATGCCGTTGATGCTCTGTAAACTCTATGATGTATCAGCACACATGGCCCGAAGCTGCAAGGACGAATGGAAAGCTTACCTGGCGGTGCTTCTCTGCAAAAGGAAGTAAGAGCGGGGTCATTGTGAAATGCTTCCACACCTGTCAAGCTCAAATGTGTGAGCTTTGGGCAGTGGTTGAGCAAAGCATGTATGCCCTGCAAATAAGTTAGCGAGGGCGATGGCATGACGACATTGAGGGCACACCTGTATAGTCAAATTCGTACAATAGCTAAGATGCACCCTCTCAAGCAGACTTGGAACTTGCTTCTGCCTCTGCTCTGGATGCCGTAGATCCATGATGGGTTGTGCAAGCGCCCGTATGCTTCGGTCTGTAATGTGCTGACATTTGACGAGACCTATCCTCCTCAACTTCTGCAAGGTCGCTAGTTGTTTCACGCTCTGATCTGTCAAGCGCTGGCAACATGCCAGATCAATATATCGTATCCTATTGCACACCTTGACTAGCTGCATGACAGCCGTGTCGGTGATCTGGATGCAATGACCTAGGTGAATGTAATGCAAGTTCTTGCCAAGCTTGGTGATGGCCAGCACGGCTCGATCTGTTTATCTCTCTGCATTTCGCCAAGACGAGGTTTCGTAGGCGAGGTGCGGCATCTATGATCTTTTCGATAGCTTCATCTCGAAGATGGTGACATGCTGTGAGATCGAGAATGCGCAGACTATCGAACGCTATATTCTTTGGCAATTCCAGAAACGCGTTGTCCGTCAACATATGGCAATGACCTACGCGAAGCTCCCTCAATTGTCGTCCCTGTCGTATCAATGCAGTGATCGACGCGTTTGTCACCTGTCGACATTGGTGTAGATCAATTTCAAGCATCGATGGGCAAGACTCGGCAACCGCAAGAATAGACTCGTCCGTGACGAGGGAGCAATTGTTGAGTTTCAACTAGATACAGGTCAGTAGATACTTTAAATAGCTGCATGGGATCTCACCCTCTTTAATGCATGGCAGTTCTCGGCAACTTCAATCAAGGACTCATCCGTGACCTTCGAGCAATCCGTGATGTTCAACCCTTGCAACCGCATGCAGTTTTCAGCAACAGCTTTCAGTGTATGGTCCGTAATACTATCCAGGCCAGTAATGTCAAGAGCAAGGAGGCTCTTGCTTCCATATATCAACGAACAGACTCCAGAGTCTGTCAATTTCTTGCACCCAGTCAACGTAAGCCTCTCGATTCTCTTGCAAGCCATGAAAGGCTGGACCGATCCATCATTGATCTGTTCATTGAGGTTGGACAGGTTGAGCCTCCTGACTAAGGCATTGTAAGGGAAATATCCGTCGGGCTTCTGTATCGAGAGCGAAACGTTCGTGAGGTTCTGCCACGTATTGCACAACGGTCTATGCCATAGCATCTCGGCACTGTTCCTTGCCCATGTCTTCGACGCAATCATGCAGCTTCGCAAATCCGCACTTGAGTTCAGGCGTGCAAACACAGCTATCAATAGCTCGGGAGGCAGACGACTGATTGGCGAGATTATTCTGAGGCGCTCTGATTCTTCGGAGTCAGGACTGAACGGAACGTCACATAAGGTCGGCCCTAACGATGACTGAGAGTCATTTCGGGCTGCTGTGAAGAAGTCGGTGTCATCTTCGTAGACTGTCCTTTCTTGAGAGCTAGTTGAGGAAGATCTCGTGGAGCTAGGTTCGCGGACCTCAGCAGCTGGTCGTGCCATATTCACTCAGACCCTGGTAAGACTTTGGAGCTTCTGATATTGATGATGCGTGCCCTAGGAAGGAAGGTTGAAGGAAGGACCCTTTTTGGGCTTTCCCGAGCGGCGTGAGGGTGGGGGCTGGGAGGTGTCGGGTGAAATGAATCGAGATAGTCAACAAAGAATATCAGAGTCTGTCTTGCTTCGTCTGAGCGTTCGGAGTAAACGGGTCTGAGGGTTCAGGGTAAGTAGCGACTCAGGAAAGCCGGTCAAGCGCGATGTCGTTCATATGAATGAGAGCTCCTTCCGGTCTTCGAACATTTTCCGGTATTGTTTATTCTATTTTGGTCAGATATGTTCCGAGCAGTCTCTTCTCTTGTGCATTAAACTCTGTAGACGTGAAGAGCCAGCGATTTGTCAGGGTTCTTTCGTAGGCAAATGATGCTCGGTAAGCGCTTTCCGGTTGGGCGTCAACAGACGAATAGCGATGCCCTGCTGCGCGTTGATGGGATCTCGCGGGGCAGGCGTTTGATTGAGATAGACAGCAGCTGGAATGAGACTCTAGCAAGCTGATGCTACATCAAATCAAAGGAGATTGACTGACGATGACCTTGTACTGCTGTGCGACTGGTCTTCGATTGGGTAGGAAGGAGGGATGATGCTCAGCTTGCAGGGATTTGTCTGGAGGGGCCGAAAGCCAAGACTGGACCTCGCACGCGACCACAGCTCATCAGACCGAAGGAATGTTTACACATTGCTCGCCATGACAAGTATACCCTCTATTCGTTCCTCACGCGCGATGCAGCCCGGGATATCTGCATTCACGTCGTCAGAGTGGGTTGCCAAATTACCCATTCACGCTCAGCAAGTGATGCTGGCAATCCGAGCGAGGCAAATGCTCCCCGAATGCTTTGAGGATGAATGACTTGGGATGTGAAAGATTAAGCGTCAAATACGAGCTTGGGGTTGTTGCGGGTCCTATACAATGTGTTGCTTCTATGTCTGTGTTCATAGGAGATGAGGGTATTCTTAAGTGAATCCCTTTGCCCACGTTCTGAACTACATCCACCTCCCCGTTTGTTCTCTCCAAGCTGCTTTGGGACTATACAAGCAGCATTGATGGCACGAGAACTCCACCTTGAACCCTCCGAATAGCCCAAAACAACCTTATCATCAAGGCTAATATCACGTCTCACCCCGCAAGCTCTGACTCATACGAAGCTACTTGATCTGCCTCAGGCCACCTCATCCGCCCAACTTGAATCTTCACTGATAGCATGCTATTCTAGCCATCTCCATAATACCGGGTTTCAGTCTGATATGTTCCTCTACCGGTCTCTCTCCGCCCTCTTCACGGCTGGCCAACGAGCCTTCTCCACCAACTCTTCCCCTCGAGCTCTACCAACTACCAAACAATTTCTCGACCACCTTTGCTCACTGACCCCAAAAGAGATCTCACAGCTCACGACTCTCTCCGTCCACGCCTATCCTTTTCCCATCTATCCTCACGGAGACGAAGATTCCTTCACCACACATGACTTCACGGACCTGATCCCCTTATTTCCCGGCCTAAAGCTCAACACCTTTGAGGTGCAAGATCCCTTTCATGGAATGGGCATTAGTGAAGATGGCTGGGGTCACGACGCTACATACGACATGGTAGATTCGTTAATAGAAAAAGGCAAGGGATGGAAGGTCTGCGTGTTCAGGAGCGATAGCGACCGGTGGCTCAAAGACGTGAACTTCGGACGACGGATTGGCGACGAATATGGTTCGACGTCGTATACACGTGAAGGGGCAGAAAAGCCTACTGGCGGAGACGACGCAGACACAAGCGAACATCAGGGTGGGAGCCTGAAGAACGAGGGAGAGACGGGAGACATATCAAGGGCGGATCGAGGCCTAGAGGTGGAGGATACGAGAGAGAGTCACTTGAGCGCCGTCGAGTCTGATGAGGAATCGAAGAGTGGTTCGAGTGACAGCGACAGCGCCTTCGAAGAATTCTCAGGCTTGAAAAAAGATCGCCAGCCAAATCACTGGGACCGCATGATCAAGGAGCGCGACGGAGTCGACAGCGGAGCCCGCGTTGAGATGTGGGTCAAAGGTATAGAGGAAGATTGTCAATGGCGCAAGATCGGAGAGGAAGGGTACGTAGTGACGGGACGACGACGAGACCGGAGTGACTCTGCGAGAGACCCAGGGGCACAGGATCTGCATCCTTTGATTGAAGTGAGAATCCAGAGGGGCGATAACGTGGAGTTTGCTGAGGATGGAGAGAAGGATCTCACGGGGAGCTGCGGAGAGCACAAGACGATTTTGTATAAGATGTTCGAGACGATGGGGTGGGAGGAGATTAAGAGGAGTGGGCGGTACTACGCTGATAGCCAGGTGGAGAAGAATCCTTGCGCTTTGTTGTAGAGGTCACTTTACTCGGAGTTGATCCAAGGAGGTTTCTTAACAGTAACATAGTCCAAACTTCTTCACTGTCTCCGAAAATTAGATACCTCAACACGAAAAGAGTCCTACCCTTCCCTCTCCCCACCCCTCGCCCACTCCCTCAAAACATTCTTCCTCACCTTCCCCGTACTCGTCTTCGGCAGCTCCGCCACGACCTCCACCTCCCTAGGCACCATGAATTTACTGATCGCACTATTTCGCTTCGCCCACTCAATCACTTCCTGAGGCTGGACATCCTTGCCCTGTTGGACGGTGATGAAAGCTTTTGGCCGCTCGCCCCAATGCGAGTCTGCGACTGCTACGACGCCGACTTCAAGGATCGAGGGATGCGTCGCTAGCATGGATTCTAGGGCTACGGAGGAGATATTTTCGCCGCCTGAGTGAGTGGTGTTAGCTCGTGTACTACAGAAGAATGGGATATCAAAGAGGGGAAAGGAGATGGGGAAGAAGGACGTGGCGGTGGGAGAGGGAGAGAGGGATGTACCGCTAATAATGATATCCTTCGCCCGATCCAAGATCTGCGCCGCGCCATCGGGATGCCACACGGCGAGGTCACCGGTATGCAGCACGCCGCCCGCAAACAGCTTCCTCGTCGCATCTGGGTCTTTGTAGTAGCCCTTCGCGCAGATGTTGCCCACGCAGACGATCTCCCCGATTTCTTTGCCGTCTTTGTTCACGTCCTCGATCGTACCTTCGGGGACTTCTGTCTTGATTATGCGGATGGGGAGACTGGTGAGGAAGCCGTGGCCTTGTCGTGCCATGTTCATGTATTTCTCCTTCTTCGGGAGGGATTCCCAGCCGGGCATGTGGTAGCCTTTTGTTATTGGGCCGTAGGTCTCTGTGAGGCCGTAGACGTGGACGGGGTGGAGATTGAGATTCGTCATTTGTTCGAAGAGATGGGGGGTCGGTGGACTCGCGGCGACTGTGACACGGACTGGGTCGGGCAACTGGACGGCTTGCTCGGCGGCGCAGAGAAGTGTGTTCACGGTTGGCGCTGCGTTGAAATGTGTAATGTGCTCATCGCGAAGCAATCGCCATATCTCGGGATAGTCAATTTTACGAAGGCAGTAATGTGTCCCCCTCACGGCTGTAACGGCCCAGGGGAACGTCCAGCCCATGGCGTGGAACATGGGCAGTGTCCAGAGGTATCGACATCGTCCTGTATGATAATTCAGTCCTGATTCGACTACATTTGCCAGCGCAGCGAGGTAGCCTCCACGATGCGTATACTCGACGCCTTTGGGCTTCGCAGTCGTCCCACTTGTATATGCTAATGCAATGACGGCTTCCTCGTCGGCTGTTTGCGCCTGAAGGCCATCCCATCCTTTCGAGCCATTTGCGACATCGCATCTGAGACCCTCGAGGACAGCTTCATCGAATTGACCGCTCAATTGGCCTTCTGTTGCATCCGTGTCGTCGTCAATGATAAGCGGTACGTTGGGGTGAGATTTGAGATACTCGTCAAGGAGAGGGAGAAATTCCGCGTCGACGATGATAGAATCGACATCAGCGTGCGCGAATATATAGGCAATGTCTTCATGCTTCAGTCGGTAGTTGATACCTGCAAAGAGTCAGAATCACAGCGCGCATTGGAATTGCTGCTTCAATCTCGCCGGCGCACCAACATTCACCGCTCCAGCAGCCCCAATGCCATACACCGATTCTAGAAATGCAGGTGTGTTCGGGCAAAGTATGCCAATTCGTTTATATCCATGCTTCTTGAGGAAGTATGCTAGTCCTCTCGCCCTGTCCGCAGCCTCCTGATATGTTCGCCGTAAAATTTTGCCGTTCGCGGTGACATGATAGATCGCCTCAGCCTAATGTCAGATCAGTGTTTGTTTCATCATAATTAGTAGATGCATATCTCACATCTGGCTCAATTGCAGCAGCTCTGGGAAGAAAGAATGTTGGCGAGAGTGTATGGATGTGATGGCGGTGATGATACTCGGGAGTCCTGGGCGGGTACGGGAGCAATTGAGAGGCAAGTTTGCTGAGACGAGATTGCGGGCTAGACATGGCCACTCATGCTTTAGATTGAACCAATCAGAATCAAATCTACATTTACCTATTGCCGTCTATCATGAACAGTAGCTCATGCAAAGAAAGAAAACGCTGCAGACATCCCTAACAAGATGCACCGGATGTGGGGAAGCTCAAATCCCCGCAGTTTGCCAATTGCTTCAGCTTTCGACTAGCGAAAGCATTTGTGTGAACCAACTCAGCGGGTCGAGAGCCCCCATGGATATTATGGCTGGTTTGATTATTTTTTGGTTAGTTTCGCTATCTGCAGACAATAGGATCGTATGATCAAGAAGAAAATGACGCCTATCGTCACATTGACTCCATTGCGCTCTTCCCTCCAGGCCCACAGCCGCTTCGCTTCTGTCGAGCTGCCTCTAATATCCGTATTTCTCCAGTTGCTTCTTTGTCTTGTCATCCACCTTGACATTCTTCTGCGCTTCCGCTAATTGCCTCCTCATCGCCTTCTTGAGCTCATAGTATGCGGCGCTCTTCACCTTTCTCTTCTCCTCAAGGCTAGCGAAGATAGTTAGCGGGATTCAATGAAGCGACAATCCTGTTGTGTCATAACGTACGTCTTGACTACATCCTGATATTTCCATCCAACTTCATGGCTCAATCTCCCCACCATGCACCATTTCCTCCCAGGCTTCAGCCTCAACACTCTCAATGCTTGAGGAACAACCACCCTCTTCTTCTTGTCGTATGGTGGAGGCACACCTTCGAACACCTTCAGGCGTTCTAGAGCTGCTGCGCCGCGAGCGGTCTTATGTGGGATCATGCCTCGGACGGCTTTGTAGAAGATACGGGATGGAGCGCGATAATGGAAAGGACCTGTAGCCGTAATTTAGACCTGTCTCTGCAGCCTTCCTCATCAGAAACTGTGAGGTATGGAATTTCCGTACCGCCTCGAGTTGGATTGTAGCGCGTCATCTTCCGCAGATAGGCAAGATACTTCACTGTAGCGAGATTGACTGTCAGTAATATCCTCAATTCAAGCACACTGCTGCAATGTTGCCCCCGAGGGCCTTGTCAGGAGAATCGTACGTTTTGTGCGGTAGAAGCCACCAGAGATGTTGATCGCTTCACAGCGGACGACCACTATCTTCTGGCCATTGAGTAGCTGCTTAGCTACTATGCTAGCCAAGCGACCCAAAAGATGTCCTTTGCCATCGATAACGACCTAGATCAGAGGCTCGTCAGCGGGCGTATTCGGAGGGGTGTCAAGCCTTGCACCGCTCGGAGGTGAAGGAGTGCAAACATACGACCGGCTCGAAGCTCGACATCCTGGGTCTACGACCTTTTGCTTGCGGACTTCACGGATGTCTTGGAGCGAATCGTTGCGTTGTTCGTTCTAGTTGAAGCTGGAGGCTTTGTCCATCTGAGATAGCGGGTTGATGTGTGAATCTCGCGTAAGCGCCTGCCGAGCTCTTGGCGTCCTTTAGGTAAGCTCGAGATCATTGGCTACTGGAACAGCTAGGGCGAGATGACGTCGGTTGATATAGTTCCCTTTCTCCGCAATTTGTTTCTCCTCAATCCCATATTACTTCGCTAGAGAGCACTCTGTTTCCTATTCGTACTGTTTGAAATATCTCAAGTATCAATCGAGTATGTCCTCCCAATTAGGTATTGGCGTTCCCGTCCCTAAATTTCTCCGTGAGTAACCATAAGAATACCCGGAAAGCCTTGTTAGCTGACTCCGCAATCAAGCTGTCACTGGCACCTGGACCTTGCCATTCGTTGCATATCTCAGCTTCCTTTCGCATCGCGTTGTGTTTGATCGCCTCAATTCCAAGCAATGGATTGGCGACCGATCCTCACCTGGCAAAGATCGTGATGAATTGGAGGTCGACAGCCGTGCTCACGCAAACTTCCTCGAAAACGTGCCGCTCGCCTTTACACTTGCAGCCGTTGCAGAGCTTAATGGTGCCAATCGCAAATACCTCAACTATGCGATGGCTGCACTCTTTGCTTTGAGGCTTCTACATGCAGAGTTGGGTATCAAGAGAGAAGAATCAATGGGCTTTGGACGACCAGCAGGGTTCTGGGGTACCCAGGGCTGGTTGATAGGCGTCGCCGGTTACTCAGCCTACCTTGTGAAGGGCTATTGGGGCTACTAGATTTATTACGAGATCTTTAGGACTCATCGGTCGGCGGCATTCTGGAGAGTAGAAGACAAGTTCCCGCATCTCTAGGGACAAGAGTGACTTCCGAGGGCGGCGCAAGTGAATTGTACATAAATGAGTGGGTGGGACTATTAATCCATTCTCGTACACGCACGAATTGCTTTGTGTCTTTACTCAATGGTCGTTCTTTCCAATATGACAATATACTTTTGTTTCCACGCCATAGCAACCGCGCTGTTGATATTCTTCATTTACTTATGGGTCCGTCTTTTTGCATCTTCGCTCATTGTACACGTTCATTTGTCTAGACAGCAGAACTTTTCCAGAAGCATTACATACATTCTGTCAGTAAACAACTTTCTTTTGCGTCAGAATCTTGCAAGGTATCAAGGTCACAAGCATAATTCACACTGGCGAGCTTGGACCTAAGACCATCACATTCATTGGAAGGCTTGATGCATCCAAACCGTGAATCAGTCCCAGGTTCACTCCTAAACCAACATAAAAACAATCGACCTCGGTTCAGCCGAATTAATTTCACGGGTTCCTCTCGCATGGCACCCTTCACTCCACTCGTACCACTGAGACGCTCATCGAACTCCAAACCATTCACCGACGACAAAGACCGCCGTATCTCCCTCATGCCGCAGCCCCTCATGATAGCCAAGCGAGCACGTCGCCCCTTCACTAAAATCACCAGCCGACACTATCGCCTCCCTTCCTCCTCTTCACTTGAGGAATTCCTCCTCTCGCCACCCACGCCTCCTAAGCACGGTTCACCACCATCGTCTCCACAACTTCTGACGCCAGCACCCGCCCCACTTACGCACCCTCTTCTCAACAAGTCCCTTCCCGCATTGCCAACAACAAGCGTATCCTACCCAACGCCTCCTGCTTCACCAACGACAGAAACACCCCCATCTTCCATCTCGTCCTATAACACCACACCACAATCACCCATAGCATCACCAGCTATAGACCCACTGAGCCGCTGCCACGCTTGCTCAAAAGCACTGGAATCGAAAACAGAGACTCTTTCTTTCCCACTCACGGCCCCTGCAGTCCGCAGCTCCGTCTACCATATCTTCAACAAGGCGCGGGGCATCTATTCACTCTCGTACCTGCCAGAGAAAAACATGCTATTCTGCTGCTCCTGCTTCACCAAGCTGCGGGACTTGCACATGTGCTGGGGCTGCGGCCTTCCCGTCGTGAGACCCGAGGAGCGCGTGAAGTGCGGATGGTGAGTTCCCGTGATCAAGATCAGTGCGCATCCGCTGACGGAATATCAACTACAGGGCATGGTGGCACTGGGGCTGCGTCTCTTGCCTCCTATGCCGCGTCCCCATCATTCCACCCACCTGGACCGGTTCCCAAATCGAGCTCTTCAAAAGCCCCGTCTGCACCAGATGTGACCACCAAGTGGGCGAGATGGTCGAGCGAGAAAGCTTGTACCACCACCACAACCCCCATCCCCTTCCCTCTATCTACAGAGAAGAAGTTCGAGGCGTGAGGGAGAAGCACATTGAAGCCCTCGCAGCATCTGGAGAGATTGCAAGATCGACTTCCGGGTATGATGGGAGTTGCGAGCTTGAAGATGAGGGTATCATGGGTGAGTATAGGCGAGAGATGGAGCGATTGAGGCTGAACCAGTGGAGCGCTGGGAAAGAAGGGTTTGAGAGCTGGCGAGGGGGGAGGTGAGGGAGGGGAGTGCTGAGGTGGCGGATAGGATTGTGGCTGTGGCGATAGGGAAGAGAGTGGGGAGTGCGAGTTCAAAGAAAAGCATGGGGAAAGCGCGAGAAGGAGGGACGGGGAGGCGAGTGAGTAGTGGACGTATTGGGAAGGGAAAGGGCGAGGGGACGGTGAGGGTCAAGAATATGAATATAGGTTGGGGTAAGGGGTTTCCGGTCATGCCGAGGTGGATGGAGAAATTGCCGGGGAATGTGAGGAGGGCTGCTGAAGGGTGTTGAGGATGAGGCTTCGGGACTTGAGTGACTATTGATAGTGAGGGGGAAAAGATTTGGGGAGCTGGAGTTGATGGGCTTTGTGCTGAAGTTATGAGGTATTCCATTCGTTTGTATCAGTCAATGAATGAGGATTGAGAGATTAGGAAAAGGTTGTGGACGCTTGCAGATCCATCCCTTTCCCCAGGCGTACGTTCTTTGTTGCTGAAGAAAGAGAGGTTGGCACATTTTGACCTGTAAAGGCGAATTTCTCTCATGCTGCCCAGAGCTTTTATCTCCCACTAGGCTTCGATGCTGAGTCGTACTTCCATTGGGAAAACTAACATTGCTGCGACGATTGCTGGCGGTGATGGGATCGAATTGTGGAAATTCTTGGAGGAGCCATGTCAGAGATTGACCTGTGGCGAAATGTCAGGAAGTATTGACCCTCTCTCCTCTCCAATTTCTATAAACATGTGCTTTGGTCTCTCGTCATCGGCGAAGTAGTGCGTGCATATCATAGATGGGAATACTGGAAGACGTCTTTTGATCATCAGGTGATACCGCCATTCCGGTTCACATGGGCCTTCGTGTCTCTACCTTTTCCAATTTGCTCTCTTGAACCCCTTGTGCTTTTTCACTTCTCTTGCTTTCTCTTTTGCTTTCCCTCTCTCTACACTTCACAGATGCTGATTCCGATCTACCATCTACGGTAGAAGATGTCGTAGAGGCCGCAGGATGATGTGGTCTTTACGACGTCGTTCCATCGTCAGATTGTACTGGTCAATCCACCCTTCTGAAGTCCTTTGGTATATTTTCAGATCTTTCTGTGACCTCTTCTTCTTTTCTCTTCGCCTTCCACGAATACCTGCTTACATTGACCGTCTTCAGTCAGCGACGGTAAGCAAGTCATAGACCGCGTTGCAAGTCTTCATTCGATCACCCACTATTGATCCTGTATCATGCGCATATTAGCTTTGATCTTTCTTCATGATCAACGACAGCGTTGTAAGACGTCACGCAATCAGTAGGTGGGATTGGTCAAGCTTTTCGATCCAAGTTGTTGCTTGCTCTATTCCTTTCTGATACTTCTTCTTCTTCCTCGCCTTCTTTCACATATCATGACTGCCAGTCTCGATCTGTCACATTTGTCATGCATCCATGGGACCAGATGACGGAGCATTATTTAGGAGACCACTTGGTCTATCATACCCTTCCTTGTTTTCCTATTCATTGCATTCTCCTTCACCCTCTTCCTCCCCAAAGTCCTCCTATTTTCTTGATTAAATTCTCTCTCGTCCTCGTGATGACCTCTTTCTCCTCACTCAATATCAACACTGCCCTCATATCCGTTTTCACCTTTCTTGTCACCCTTCTTCTTACCCATTTCCTTGGTCTCTATTATCAGCACCCTCTTTGCCCTCTTTCTGCCCGTTGTTCTAACCTCCTTTTCATTTATATTCTCAATGTCCCAAGTACTTTTTCGCCCTGCAATTCTTCTCACTCTCCTCTTGAATCTTCCTTTCGTTCTTTCTGACATTTATTCAACATCTCTTCTGATTCCTGTTCCTACTTCCTCCCATGTTTCTCTTTGCATCTTTCATTTTATTCTCCACCTGCTCTCCTGCCTCAACGTCCACTTCATACCGCCGCTCTGGTTATATTCTTCAATCTCCATTTAATTCTTCTCCTTACTCGGTGCAGCATATTTCTTGAGACATCTTTGCTTTCATCACTTTTCTAAAAATCATCAGATTGATCCCCTCCTTGCTCTTCTTCTCCGGATCACAGCATCAAATGCAGGATGTAGCCCGCGTAGACCTGGCCAGCACATCAGAGTGAACGAGAGCGTTCTGACAGACATCCAATCTTTGCAATGATTCTAGCACGATGTATTGACCCATTCTCGCGCAACGGGGCCCGGTATAAGGATGAGTACAAAATCTGCGTAGGTTTCGGCATCGAGGGTCTCAGATCAATGTGCGAGGACCGTACGTTAGGGCAGTGAGAATTTCTCCGTGGAGACAATGCTCGACTGCTGAGTTGAAGTAACGCAACCGTTTCACCTGGCTCTAATGAAATATATCTTTGCAGGTGTAATGAGCCGCGGGACCACCTTTATCTGGGTTGCTTGTCGGAGAGGAATCAATGCATCGTAGAACATAGCAACGACATGGACGGACATCGTGTATGATGTAGGCAAAGCGAGATTCGCAAGGATCGTGATCGTGATAGGGCTTATAGGACATTGAGCCTTTTTGTATTCTTCCAAGCTCTCTGTAGCTTAGTTACTGAGCTGCTTGCGAGACGTCGAAGCCTTGTGGGAACATTAAAGCTCAGTGGATTGGCCAGGAAGCGGCGAGGTAAAATGCTCGAGGCCATGCTAGTACCAAAAGCCACGTAGATGATCCCAATATATTCAACCCGGCCTATAGCCCTCTTTCCTGTCCGCTGAGAATGCTGGTTGGATTGCACCGCTGTCTCCCGTTGATGAGCAGACTTGGCTGATGGAAGGATCTCAACAGTATGGTTTGTGATTGCACGTAGCCAAGCACCTATTTTGTTGCCCTCTGATCAGCAGTAGTTCGCTCTCTTTAGCATGACATAGGTAGCAACATAAGCTGATGCAAGTATCAAAGTGTACCTCTGAAAGAAATATTATTCCTGTTGCTGAGTCTATCCGAGCTCTTCAAACCTATACAAGTCTTCTTCTTCAAGACCATTTATTGTTCCATTGAATAGGTATGCTTCCAAAAATTTAGCCAAACCCAAAAACCTGAATGTGTATTGTCATCACGCGTTCCACGATCATCATTCCAGTTCGAATCAACTCTTTGGTCTTCTTCAGGGCAACAGGGTCCTCAGCCCCCTTCCAATGCCAACCATACCCATGTCCATGCTCATGCCCTTGCCTCTTTGCGTCAGGTTCTCTTTCTCACTGTCGTCGTCGTCCCCATGCCTGATCGAACTTGTGCTCATTCTCATTGCCAGTCTCGGAGCAGTGCTTGCCCCAGACTCATTCAGTTGATACCTTGGTACCTTTCTGTGATGTAGGTTGCCCCTTGATACTCTTGCGTTAAGTTGAGAAGCCTGTGCAGAGGTCAGGCTTTGTGTATGTTGCTCGAAGGATACTTTGCGAGTCGAATTAGCAGGTTTTGGCTTTGCTGTTGCTGTTCCAGCAACAGTGCCGTCAAAGGAGACGCTGTCAGAGGAGCTTCGGCGTTGGTAGTGGAGAGGACGGTACGGCGATGGATCGTCGAAACTCGTATTCTCCAGCGAGACACGATGTAAGTTGGTCGCTTTTGGAGCTTTATTGGAGGAACTCGTGCGCGAGAACTTGTAGCGGAGGCTTTGGTCATACGACAGAGGTTTCTTAGGCTGTTTTATATCCTGCCGCGACGAAGAGAAGCGGCGCTGGTCACCGCTGCCGCTGCTTCCCATCTCCAGTGTAGATTGTCGACGCGTGATCTTCATCTTCCTCAGCGGACTGCTTGTGTTCTTGGAGGTCTCTTCATAGGTTTGAGGGGGAAATCGTCGAGGACTACCTTCCAGCGCTCTTGTGAGGCTATGCATATCTGAAGTTCCGATTGTATCTTGACGGAGGTTGAGGAAGGATTGTCGGCGAGCTACGGTGAATGCATGGCCAGGATGAAGGTGGTGAGGGGTGATTGTGCTGCTCGTCGCGGTTGAGGTCTTTCGCGAGTTTTGCTCGATGCTTGCGGCTACTTGTGCAAGGGAGTTTGGAGGGATGTCAATAGTGTTTGGATGAATGATGTTGATTGGGAGTTGGACCTGTAGTCTCTTGTGGAAGGAGCAGTAAAGCTTCACCACGAGGAAGAAGCGAACACCAAAGAAGCGGCCTGTCTCTATGGACACCAGCCCCGCAGGTAGCTCCAGCTGTACCGTGTGATAGTCTTCAGCCAGTGAATCGATGGTCTCGTGGCTTCGTAACACGTTTTTCTTTGTCAGTATCTCTCTGAGTAGCTCGTCAGGCAGGCGAATGTCTGACTTCACCTTGTCGGAAGATGGAACAGGATGTGTGTAAAACACAGTCACTCGCTCTAGCTGCAGCTCGAGCCTCCGTATTGGCTTGCGGCTTCCATTATGGACACGTAGATCCATGAAAAGCGTGTAGCCACTGATCCATGTCTGTCTGTGAATGCCTGCTGTGAGACCGACCCCATGACCCGAGAGCTTCAGATCATCAGACACAACAACAGGATTGGATAGATTCATAAGTGCTGTCTCTGCTGCTGGTCACGTTAATCCCTGTGTGTACTCTCACTCTTCCGCATGCGTACGTACGGTCTTGGACGGTCAACACTAGAATCTCCTTTGTCTCCCTTATAAAACGGACCTCCTCCTTCTTTCTTGCTTCTACTGTACAGCTTAGCAAGTACCTTATCCCAGCCCTCTTTGTCTCATACGGAGCCGGTCCCATCTCCATGGGTAGGTCTATACTAAAGCTCCTCACCGTATCCTTTGTGATAGGGTCATCTTGTGGATGTACGACAGTCGACGTCAAAGCCCGAAAGATCTCCTGCCTCCCCTTGCAGTACTCGACCCCTAGGACATTTATCGACACTCGATGAATGGAGATCACCGGAAGCGTCTTCCTTCTCGCCTTTGAACTTCCTGGATCGATCTTCAGATGGACCTCACCCTCGACCGTAGCTCCACCTATGAATAAAGGAGCGGACAGACGAAAGACGACTTGTATCCTTCGATGCTTCAACACAGGAATTCCAAGGATATCATCGGGTGGTACAACAGGCACAAAGGTCCTTGATCTAGCTCGTCCGATCGATGGCCGCCTGATAGGCGAAGCCGACGTACCACGGACCTCAACCACCTCCGAAGCCTTCAAAGGATACGGAGTAGATGATCCTTTGATATTAGAAGATGGAGATACACGAGAAATGGTGCCTGTCTGAGAAGTGAAAAATCTGGATGACCTCCTCTCTGGAATCTTTCCAAGCGGCTTGTAGCTCGCTACTTCTGAAGGAAGTCTAGTCGCTACAGGACTCATCTTGGACGGAACAGCTACAGTAAGAAAGACGGAAGACTCTACACAGAATGATGCTTGCTCTCATAAAAAGGAGGGACTTGGTCCTCGTCTTCTGTAGGAGAGTGAAAGTCCCAGCACCCACGCCGTCATCAGATACAACAGCAAAAGGGTCAGGAGCCTTGCAGGTAATGTCGATCTTCAAGTCGCACAAGAGGATACGTCTGTGTATCGAAAGGTACAGGCGGAAGTCCATCGCAAGCTACCCCCAAACAGGTTGTCATGCAACCACAGGTCGACCAAGAAGCGTGAGGGCTAAGCAGGCGCGACCGAACCACCTACCATAGAACACTGGAACCCCTTGATACATGGACACAAAGAATCACAACGACCGATGGGAAATCCTATGGTTGTTGACGAAAGATCTACAGACAACTACACAGGGACACTTTCTATGTTGCACACCAACAATGCGCAAGATTAGGTACTTACCAGGTGTATACGACATGAGCACAAGCTCACACACGACTATACAGTTATGACGAACTATACTAACAGCGAAAGCTATAAATATATATAAATTACAGGGCGACGAAGAATGCCGCCGACAACTTCAGCGTAGAAGGAGGAATTGCGTGCCAGCACATCGAGCCGCCGGTTAGGTGTATGGAGCTCGAGATTAAGAGCATCCAGATCACAAAGAAGGGTAAGGAGAAGCCCACTTCAGAACAAGACAAGCACACATCTGCTTGTTTTCCTACCAGAGCTTGGGAAAATGGCTAGCCCTGCCAGCGCGGTTCCACGGAAAGCCGAGAGAGAAGGCGGCCAGCCTTAGTACCCCGATACAAACTCAGCGACTGGGCAACGTCTCCCGATGACGAATATATCGGGACGAGGACTCAAGACCTCACCCGATCTCTTTTCGCCTGCCTTCTCCGCCCAGGACGTCGGTCTTGTCCTTCCCCTGGATACGACTGCTTGACCACTGCTCAGGCGACAAGGCTGAGCTAACTTCTACAGCTCTAGATGGCGTTGAGGCCACATGAACTCGAACGCATCGGCCAACTGCGTCGCCCAATGCCATCCTGCAGCAATGGATTTGGCAGCATGAGGAGCGATTCTTTCGTGGTGGACGATGAGATGGACTTGGATGCTGGCAGGCAGCCTACTGATTCTGGATTCGAAGAATTAAAATGGACTTGCGGCAGCTCCTTCTCGACGCAAGAAGAAGATATCCTTCAAGATTCCGATTGGAGGAGCATCCTGCTGCAGAGATCGTCTAATCCTTTCCTGGAGGCCGCGCTGTTCGCTCGAGACTGAAGTATTTACCAGACGTGACGGCGAAAGCAGTTGACTCTTCATTGAGGCTCGTTCTATACCTGTGTCTGGCTTTGTGGTCATAAAATAATATATTACTTGCATGTTGACCGCAAGCTGGTACAAACCACCCGGCTGAACGAGCAAGCAAATGGACCTGTCAGAAGATGGTGACGGTGACGTTCGCGCATGCTCGTCTCTTTGTCATCTTGATATCAACTTCGGTCAAGTTCTTCGATTTCAGGGGGTAACATCTAGCAGGAAGATGACCCCACATAATCCTTCGCTGTGTTTCCGGGCGAGTATAATGCGGGAGAGGGAGAATTCCCATCGTCAGTGGGGATAGAAGAAGGCTACGAATCGAGGAGAGAAGGAAGCATCGAACAATCTGGCTGTCTCGCCGTGTTGACTCGATCGTCGACAAATGCCTGTCATTGATCCAGATCTCCGTGAACTTCCCTTGCACTCTTCAACCATCACAATCCTTTGATCACCTGACAATGGAAATCGGTTCATTGACGATTCCGTTCACTTGGATGGTACCTTCAATCCACTCTCGACTTGTCACTTGTCTCATACTAAGATGCCACGTCGCCCTCGAGGCAAGTTGTCTAGCTGACATCTCGTGACCGAATTGAACGAGAAATTGTTACTAGCCATACAACCGATGTGCAACGAATCTGGCGTTGTACTGCTGGTGGAGACAATAGCGACTCATCTAGGTAGCAATGTATCACCGGATGCGGGACCTTGCAAAGCTCCGCAAGAAGCGAGACGACGACAACTTCGCAAACCGCCCGTCTTTCCGACGACGAGGGCGTCGTTACGACGTCCCCACCGCCTCTACCAATGCCACAATGAGTCAATTACGGATCAGGCAATAGAATAATTGTCTGGTGCGTGGGCCGTTGACGTGCAGAAGTTGCGTAGTATAGCAAGGACTCCTGGACACTTCCTTCGACCCATGTATCGTCTTGCCGAACTTGTCTACGCGAGCTGGGCGACTCGTTTGCGCCAACTGGATCATAAATATATATATCGTATCGTCCCATCTTCTTCGGGACTTCGCGTGGAACAGCCGGCTTGTGCAACTTGTCTGCGCGAACTGGGTATGCATGGATCAATCAGTCCTCTAAATCTATCTTGATGACTAGACCAGCAGAAGCAAAGGAGGATCCTCGCCAAAGCTCCTACTATGCATGTGTGCAAAGCTGCCCTCTTATGCAGTAACTTTCGAAATGAGGAGTCGCTGCTAATTTGTCGTGGCTTTGGGCTTGCTTTTCCAAGCATTGTATTGAAACCCACTTTGACAAGGTTCAGCTCCCCAGCTCTCTCATACTAGCTACAGAGGCTGCAGCAAACGATGCGAACAACGGGGAGAACTTTCTGTTAGCTTCGTGTTCAATCCAGTCCGCAAATGGCTTAAAGACACCGGAAACATTATCGTCAAAATAGATGACGGCTACTTCATGATTGGTGATAAGCAATGATTTGCGGACTTGAGAGAGGTTCATCGTGATCCTGGAATCTGGTTCTCAGATGTGACATTCGCTTGTGCTCAGCATTCATCCCCAGCGTCAGGGAAACAGATGCTGAATAGCTACAGATCAGCCTTTCAGCACTCGCCCTCGGCCTCAGGGGCAACAACTTCTAAATATATATAAACATTTCGGCATCTCGTCGGAGTATACTGGGAACCTCCACAGCGATGCGAGTACTGCAAAGGGAGCTTCTTTTGGCAATTCAAAGTGGATGCAACGAAGCTGGGGTCTCTCTCCCTATGGACGTGATCGCACTGCATATGGATTGTAATGCCTCGGCTAATGCTATCCTGCAACACCTAGCCAAATCGCGTGAGAAGAGAGAAGAGGAAGGCATGACAAATCCCCCAGCCCTCGCCTATGAAGGCCGACGCATGTGGATTTTGACGGAGCTGTGGGAGCTTCAGAGGCTTGTTTGGAGACAGGGGTCGAAGAAAAAATCACCGAAAAATGTCTTCGTCTCGTCGAATAGCTCAAGAGAAGACAAGGCAACGAGCCTGGCCGCCGATAAGACTGTCCGGTCCTCTCCGTGTCAGTACGTCCAAGGCTGCAGTTTGCTTCTTCCTTCGCGAAAGAGCCTTGCTGCTCAGTCAAAGAGCCATTTGCAAGGATGACGTCAACCATCCGCACCGCCTAGCGTCGAGAGTTCTGAGGGATGAAGTAGCTACGAATCATCTAGCTCTCCGCCAGTCTTTCTGATTCCTCAAGCGAGGAGATGACCTTGCCCTTTGGGAAGCCACATGGGTTTCGTCTCCCTTGGAAGCTGATCAGCGCCGGCAATAGCGAGATCAATCCGCACAGGAGAAAAGCTGCACCACAAGGCATCACGACCCCAACGCCACGAGACCAGAGTACATCACAATCGTAGTACCTTGTTATCACGACAAGGCGACCTCCAGGTCCTCTTGAGATGCCCTGCGACAGTTGTCTGCAATGGCTTCATCTGCAGAACGATTATACACCAGACCAGGTGTACGGCGTGTGAACTACTGGACTTCTCATGTAATGACAATCGTGCTCAATCTCTCTGCCGTCAACAAGCCGCGACTTACGGCATGAGAAGCTGATCTGGCAGCCATTCATTGGTACTTGGTTCTCAAGAGCTGACAAGTAGGTTGCAATGTAATAAGAAGAATGCGGATCCAAAAATCTCTGGTTTTAACAAGCCGACGAGGAGTTGAGAGCAAGACAGCCAACTTTTCCGCCGACGGGTCTCGTCTGTCGGCGCTTCATGAGGAGCTGCTCCGCCGCAGCTTCATTGGTGCTCGGTTGTAGGGAGCCAGGCAAGATCACAACCTTCAACACCACAAGCGTGCCTCGTCTTTGGGCGCTCCATGGGGAGCTGGTTCGGCGACCTTTCATTTTGCTCGTCTGTGATGAGTTGCCAGAAGCTTTACGCTGCCATGAGGAAAGTCGTGTCGCATGTCTTTGGTCGCAACAAGAAGTGAACATCACTCCTATTGGATGGTGCCTGGCGGAATCGGCAGACGACAACGCACCCCCGGCCCAACAGGGCACAAGTGCTCAAGGGCACGTCTTCATTGGGTCATTCCCCTGCGTCGCCGTGACCAACTACGTCACTGGCAGCGAGGACATGCGGAAAGTCGTGTCACACGTATTCGGGCGGAACAAGAAGAGCACGTAACTCTCCCCGCCGACGCCTGGCTGCGGTGGTGCCCCTGCGTCGCCGTGACTAACTGGTTCACTGGTAGCGAGGACATGCGGAAAGTCGTGTCACACGTATTCGGGCGGAACAAGAGGAGACGTCCCTCTCCCCGCCGACGCCTGGCTGAGGTGGTGCCGCAACCACTACCAGCGAAAATGCTACCGCAGCCGTGGTGGCAGTATGTTCCAGCGCAGCATACCAAATATATCGTGCTCGTAATAAGGGGCAATCATACACTCCTCAGCTAGGTTTGGCCCATCAACGTCTGGATGGATGGATGGCCTGAACCGGTCGTGGGATGTCTGCCTGAGTCAAGGAACTCGGACACTTACTAACAATATAAATATATATAACAGCTTGCCGGCATGGCACTTCTCTGGAGTTACGAATCGTCCGAAGGCAGCTTGTCGGCATTGTTGAATGCACTTCGGGGCTCTGATAGAACAGGATTTGCTAGTTTCTTTCCCTCTGACCTATCAGCCCCGTAGCTAGTAGCCTGT